TACTACGTATATCCTTTAAGAAACAGCAATCAATAGAAAAACAGTAGTCAATTCGCAATCAAAGTAACCAAATGACACTTATATTTATTAAACTACATTAAATGTTCGTCACAAGTCGCACTCAAAGGCAATAGATTACAACCTTTAACCCTTTTCTCTCGATTTAAGTGTTGTTGGGTGTAAACTTTTATTTATTTTTAGGGAAATGAATTAATTTAATTTACAGCGGTAGAATTCAACGTTTTATATTTATTTTCTTTATTATTATTATAAGATTTAATTTTTATAATCTGTTCAAGCACAGTACTTTTTCAAACAATTTTCAACGTTCTATAACAAAGTTGTATTGACATCTTCAGCATGATATACGAGTATAAAGGGTTAAAACAGCTTATCTGGAGCACAGTTTCCAAAGGAACCATAAGGGGTCAACCAAGTTGTCAACGTATCCCGCTCAACCTACAATAACAACAGCAACATTGACAGACCAAGGTTTCCGTGTGACGCGACTTTTCCCCGTGTTTAGCAGGGTATAAAAGTTGCGGCATCGCCGCGAAAATAAACTCGACGCGAATAAAGCTGCTGGATCGAGGCTCAAAGGAGCCCCGTTTGAGTTATGCCCGGGGCTAGAGGCGACAAGGTTGTCGGTCGAACGCGTCCGCGATAAAACACGCGCTATAACCGTCATGCCGGACGACGCTGGTCGCAGCTTGAGAACAAGCCGCTTCTTCGCGCGGAACACGTTTCCGCTTCTCCGAGGCTCACGGAATCGTAAAGTGGAGATCCGTGCTCTCCTTGGCTTCACGGGGTCATTCCGCAATGGCCGGAAGCCGCGTGGAAAATCCGATCGGTCTCGCTCGCTAACTGGTCGCCGCATCACTCCTCGACGTTAAGTGGACCGACGACAATCATTTCAGGACCTACTCGCTAATCCCCGTGCGCCGTGAGAGATATCAACGTCCAGGTGGTGTCACCGGTGGTGATCCTCCTTTATCATATTTCCTGCCTCGAGAAGGATTATACCCTTGCACATGACAGTCTTTCTTATGTAGCTCCTTTTTTCGCTGCTCAGACGGAAGGAAGCGGACGCGATCGATTCCACTGATAATCCGTCAAGATTGATTCGATGTACTTCGAGGTTTAAAACTTTGGCATCGCGTTTAGTGTTCGCATTTGTGATAGAATAATGTGAAGGTTAATATGATTTACTGCTCCTTCTTTGTGGGAAATTTATTAGAGATCTCTTTTATTATATTGTCTTAAGCGTTACTTTTATTAAATTCGAGTAGGTAATGCTTCATTGTCTTGCACTGTAAAAGTCATATTTATATATTAACTTCAAATGTTTATCTAACAGAAGTTCAAATATATTCATTTCCACTTATATATTCACTTATATTCAAGAAATTTAAACTCTTTTGATATAAGTGAAATCAGTCTCTAAAGATTTGAGTGCTAGTGTAAATATTGGAAGTTCCTGATCCTCGAGTGCGTACTTTTAAATTGCATAGAGCCTGCACAGGTACAGTTTTCGAACGATTTCGTTGGATCGCGACGAACATTCGTTCTACGATGTCTAGACAAAACGCACGCCATTAAACAAATGTCCGCCAGTCGCATTATGTCCGGAATAACAAGCGATCGGAGGATATATCGACGACTGTCAGAACCGTTTCCCAATCCCGTTCTTTTCCCCGTGTTATTAATGCCGTCGATATTTCCGGTCTCGGCAGACGCTAACAATCCATATCCACTCCTCTGTCTCGTTACGTCAATTAACTCGTCGGTGGATTCATCCGCGAGCCTTCCTTTCATGGAGTGGCATTAATTTGAAGCATCGAATAAAAATGCTCGAATGATCATCCCTACTTCGCTGTACTGCGCGCACTTCCACCGTTCGTTACACCATGGCGACGGTTTCTTTCGTTCTTTTCTTCCGGATTTCATCGATCATTTTCTTGTCCGCCGTTTCCTCGATAATTGGAAACTACAAAATTCTTGAATAACACATTGCTCTTCTATTTCAAATGTCACTCTATCGTGGCATACACGCGTCTCATCCTCGCGAGAAGGTTCGAACAAATAAGACATTTTCAATTTCAGTAGATTTGCTATTGAGAAAAATGTTTAAATTACTTATCTAATCAATCGAGTAATATTAAAGCGGTATTTTCTTTCCACTCTCCTTCATAACTTTATGACTTTCAATATTTATTTCATATGAAATATTTCTACTGGAGACGTTAAAATAAATTTTCTGCCATTTCAGACTAATCTTGATCTTTCGATACTTTATTAACTCGATCACCGCTTGATATGATATAGGAAAATTATAAAATCTTACATGTGATCAACTCTGTATACCGCATCAATATATGAAATATCGACATAAAGCAGCTTTGTATTGTAATTTATTTACATTTCCATTAGTTAGTTTCAAAGAATATCTTCCATGTCTCATCACAAAATATCGAATATTTCCACTAAAGAACATTCGAGTGCAAAAGGTCAAGATCGTAATGTTAGTATCGATTCTGTTACATCAAATCTCCCTCTCCCTTTTTTCGCCTAGCATTTCCCATCGTCGAGTAGTTTTTCTCTTTCTCCCCTCGCGTGCATAACCGGTGTCTAATTTGTTTCCAGCACGTATTATTACAACCCATTAACCATCATTCAGTAATCGACGATGTTTCGATCCGCGGTATGTTCCGAGCGGAGCCGGTGATTGCTTCGCTGAATTTTTCAACGGTTCCGAGCCAGTGAAACTTTCATTCGAATAATAACCAGTCGACCGCGGGATATATTCGCTCGTATAAAAACCGGGATCAATAATAAAACAGCGGTGGTCGTTCATAGTTAAATTGGCCAGCCGATATTTCCATTAGTTTCTGGTACCTACGCGTAATGGTCAGCGTGCACGCGCGCGCGCTGTTTGAGTTTCGATTTTACATGGCCGTACGTTGCGGTGGCGGCATAATGTCGCGCGCGTACATATTCGTGGCGGTTAAAAGATGGTTTATACCGGGTCGTGTAAAATCAAAGCGGCACTGCGCGGCCCCGCGCAGGTGACCAGTGAACGTTCCGCTCACAAAATAACAAGCACGCGTTGTTGCACAACGCCAGCCCACCGACGACAATCCCTACGTCCGGTTCGAAAATCCATCCCGCGTTACGTTTCGCCGCCCCATTATGCCAACCGGTCGATTGCCAGACGTGTAATGGCCACGGTCAAACTTTACGCGCAGCGCTCCGCTGATTTGACTTTCATAATCCCCGACCTATCCGTACCCTACATCTAGGGGACGTCCGAATCTCTACAAACCGTGATCGCGAAATCCTGTCCAAAACTTTCCGTGGTAATTCTGAGGGGTTGCTGGAGTTGGCAAAAATGGATTAAGGACTTTTCTGTGTGACACTTAACGTTAATCAAATCATTTAGGGACTTTTATTGTGTAGGATAGTATGTTACGTTGATGATGTTTGATGTAGAAAGTAGAATATGTTGATAAAGATATAGACTTTGACTTTGTTGAGATTTACAAGTTCTTTTTTAATCCAATCGTGTTCCGTTTTGCATTTATTGTACAGATTGGATTTCTTTGGGAGAATATATTGAAATTTATTCGATGAATTCAGAATAGTAAATTATTGATTAGTATTAGGATTCGATTAGGATGCAATATTGCCAACGCAATTTAACGTTGACGGCCTAGCAAATTAGGAATAACTTCATTCTGTATTGATCAGTATGCGCCGCAAATAATTGGGTGATCGAGGAAATAAATTAGCTGTTATAGTGTTGTTTATTGAATAACTTGTATAATAAAAATATTATATTGTAAACGTGTACTTTCTTTCTTTTCTATTACTTCAGCCAGATTTTATTCCTTGGAATCGCTTTATTCATACAAATTCCTTTCAATTTTTAGTTATGATGGGTTATTTCTATCTTTGATGAAATGTTTCTGTTGCGAAGGCAACGAATTATCGAATCGACGGAATAAAAGGCTTAAATGTCGGGAATTGTAATAGAGCGAGTGCCTCGAAGTCTATACTTTGAGAGAAAAGAAAGAGGGTTGCGAAGGGGCGGCGATAAGCAACGGATGTCGGACAAGCACGGAAATGAGGAACGGGAGGGTGAGAAACACCCGTAACCTTCATAACGCCATAATTTCCCGACACAACACCGTAACGGGTCGCGAATGTTCTGCCGGAACGTATTAATAATGCTTTGACTTCGACCACAATGCGATGCATATATTACGCGCTCGGCGCAACGTGTCACGCCAAACAAACGGATACGTTTGCGAGGCTGATTTATGCTCGTCGTAATTGAACGGTGCGCTAATTGAATCGGGGCCGGTTTTTGTCGCCGGAAATTCGTACCTTCGGCAGCCGGTAGATACTCGATTATGCGCGAATCAAACCGGAACAGGTGCGCTTTTCATTTGGGAAATAATGCTAGAACAATCGGGACCGCTTGTTACACCGCAAACAAACTATACACACTTTGTACAGATTCTTGTGGAATGGCAGTTAATTGATCCATTGGTACACTTCCATAATACTCCGCGACAGGAATGTTATTATTGAATCGTGAATTGCAAATACGACTTTCTAGTACTTAATTAATGGAATATTTTAGATATAGTAACTTTTTAGACAACACTAATCGAAACTAAATTTAAGTTCAATGACTGTATCACTGGTAAGCTATCGTTAACCCTCTGTAGGCCCCTGTGACTTTGCAGTCACATAACAATATATTGGCATCTTGTTGATTTATTTCTTTGTGCATAGTAAAGTGGCAAATAAAATGAAGCAATTAATTAACAAATTATTAACTTTAATTAATAAACTCGGTCTACAGCAGGTTGAGCTTCAATTCTGTAAACGAAATTCAATGAAATACTTATAATCCCATTCACCAAGTATATACAACATCCTCCACTTCGAATACCAATTAAACACTGAACAACAACGATTCGTTTTGTTTCCAGGGCCGCGCTAGGCCGCGTCTGCATGAAGCTGGTGGTGGTGATGGGCGTGACTTGGGTTGCGGACGTAGTGTCGTGGGTAGTCGGCGGGCCGCAGTACATCTGGTACTTCACGGACTTGATAAACGCCTTCCAGGGCGTGCTGATTTTCGTTGTGGTTGGTTGCCAGCCGCAAGTGCGCGCCGCGCTGAAGAGGCTGTGCAACAGGAACCCGAGAACGAATGCTGGCAGACAGGGGAACGGACTGAGCACGACCAGCCACGGGATGCCCAGCATGGGGGACAGCGTCACCCAGAATCCTAGCACGAAGACTGCACCGTTGGAGACCATCTGCTAAAGAGACCGACCCGCCTCCGCGATCTAACACGAAAACGGAGCCCTGCTAATGGCGCAGGAAGCACTGCATCTCCTGTGAAACGAGTTCGCGCCCATTCAATAAACACGACGGATCGACGGGATCCGGAAGACGATGCGCACTACTCGTCAACATCAATTCCCGCGTCCTATTTGGGAGCTCTCCGAGCCGGACGCGGAAGTTTTGGTTACCGGCTGGCAGGCCGGAAGAGCCGCACAGTATACGAAGCGTACGTTCCCGGTGGAGCGTAGAAGCGTTAGGGGTCGCGAAGAGATAGGTCGAGTGGGGAGGGCAAGACTTTCAGTTTCAAACCGGCTGTTATCGGATCCTACCGCCCAGGAACCGTACCGATTCGCACCGGCTCGGTCGGTAATAACAGGTATACACCCGACGATACACCTCCGAAGTAAACGACTGCGGCGGCAGGTCAACGGCCCCGGGACCGTGAACTTGGACGCCTTTTGGGTCGAGGCTCTCTCCGGTTCCGGATGACTCCGCCGGAGGATAAGAGGCGATTGTAACCGCGTCCACGCCTTCAATGTGAGCTACGTCGAAGGCTGTCACAACGACGCTACGGGGTCGTCGACCTTGACGCGAGAAATCTCCGCGAAGAATGTGTCGCGAGACGTGGCTGTCAGTCCCCGCGGACCTCGGCGAACGCGATAGAACGCCGAGAGAACGGCCTCCGTCACATTGAATAGTTCATTGTCTCCGCAGGACACAATAGGAGAGAGAGTGGCGAAAACAACGCCGACGCGACAAATATTCATAGAACCACCGCCTTGTTCCGGTCGGCTCTCCCTCGGGACTAGAGCGACGCGGGTTCGAACCGTGATTTGTATCCCAGGCGAGTCCGTTCGGTTCCGATAACGTCGCGCTTCTCCAGCGAGATGTTACGGGGGGAAAGATGGTGATTAGAGAGCTCGGAACAGAACTGGCCACTACGCGTTGATCGGTTATTTATAAACGAGAAGCCTAACGAGGTGACGCGTGCCCGATCACGAGACGCCACTTTATTCGAATGTTATTAATAAACGGCGCCAGGCGAGGTCGGTGCTAATTGGGGGTGAACGTTTCTCTTGGCAGGACGGCGATAATGATCGACGGCCGCCACCGTCCACCGCGACGGTCCCCACGGACGATCTTGCATTCTTCTTTCTTGTCTTTTTCTTTGACTCTTTTTGGCTTTACTCGGCGATTCGGTTCATACAGACCGTGGTCGATCTCCAGGTTCGTTGGACGATTGTTCAGAGGAACCGCGGTTTTGGGAAGCCGGAGACGTTAACACGTTGACTACTCTTGGTGACCATAAAGTAAACTGTTTATTCCTTTTTCTTGCGCTTTCGTTTGCGCGAATTATAAAGAGGCAAGGGTTGCAATAATGTTTCTTAGAATATTAATATTAAACTCGAGTTACCTTACTGTTTAGGAATTTCTTCCTTGTTAAACTCAATGCGAAACTTTCGCTGCTGACTGATATTAGCAAGCAATGGATTAAGAATGATTGCAATAACATAAATGCAGATACCAAATTCTTCAGTAACACGAATGAAAAAATGTACTACCGAGTAACTAAGTGCCACTGCTCAGACTGATTCCTCTACAAGCACAAATATTTACGGACCAATATACAAAGACTAGAATTAAGTAACATTGCGTTCACAGCATTCAAGATTCCATCATCCATGAAACTAAAAATCCCATCAATCTTCTTTGAATCATTTACAATGTTAAGTCAATGTTCTATATAATAAAACAAAACTCCAGAGTGTAGATAATAGTAAACACAGTAGAACATGCGAGAAACGAGTCAACGTGTTAAATTTCCACGAGAAAGCCGATCGACCTTGACCTCCGTTCGGAAAGGATTGAGATCGTGATTCCGCGGTATTTACTTTCGGCCCGCGGGCTTCATTATTCATCGGAGCCGCGAGCGATCGCGCTTCAATTTTCTTTAGCATAAATTTGCATCGACAGAGTCGCGCGGCCGCGATCGAGGAGGCGTCCCCAGGCTACTAGCATGCGCGGCTTCAGGAGTTTTACACCCGGCTGGTCCCGTCATCGATCCGCCGAATCGATTATTCGTTAAATAACCCGATTCCTCGTAAGTACTTTCACCCGGGTTTTCCGTGCGTCAAGCGTAATCCATTCACGATTTCATCGCCGCGATTCCTCGTGCGGCCACGTTCTTTCCTTCCCTCTACCCCGTCTATATTCCCCGCAAACAAGGAGAACGTTGTTCTCTTTTGCCAAAGAACGGCGGAGACATTCTCGAGGAAAGTATCCATGCACTGCCAAGTCCACATCGACTCCGATAACGAGAGTCAACGGGATCAGCGTATCGTTGTTGCAATCGCGACAAAATTCTCGGCGATCGGCAATTCTGCGCCCGAGACTAATTCAAGTCCATTCTATACGAATATGAATCGTTCACATCATATTACTGCGTTTTTTGCTTTATTTCAAACAGCGGAAGTCCGCTTGTAGAATTTCGTATAAAACGACTTATAGCTTCAAGGATGAATTCTTTTTAGTGACCGACAGATTCTTTGTTCACAGGTGAAAAAAAAAATGGAAAGGAAGATAGTTAAGGTGGATATATATATTTGAAAAATTGCGAGAGAGCTTTAACGAGGAATTCAGATTGGAGGTACACGTATGCGTAGATATCCTTGAAGAGATCAAGTGTAATATCGCTGTTTTTCTATTACGCGAAATATTAATTAAATAGTTGAGCACTCGGGCACACAATTTACGACGAAAGCGCGACGAGAGACGATCCCGTTGACAGACGACACTGTCGTTAGAATAAAAACCGTGTTTTTTGTACTTTTTCATATAAACGGATTTTCGAGATTTTACATAAAGAATATCGTGATTCGACGAATAGACGTGAAACGACGCGGAACTCGCTCCGGTTTCTAATGAACAGGGCGAGCGACGCGCGTTTCTTCGATGTTTCTCACCGTTCACGTCTTTTTCCATGTTTTTTTTAAGTGTTACATGTGAGTCACGCACCTGCAACGACACACACGTAGGTAGGTCAGGGCATAACCGACTCGAACTCGTGACAATACACACTAGGAATTCAATGCCTTCGGAAATGCCTTCCAAATGTGGTGTTCAACGTGCCGAATTTATACAATGGGGAACCAGACGACGAGGAGACCAGGTGAAACCTCCTCCCGGTTCTCGCGTTCAACGCGTGCGACCGTCGCGAGATTACCATTTCTGCGGCCGTGTAACTTCTGACGACGTTCGACGACAGTTTAATTTGCGGCTTAACCGATTAACCTCTTAAGAGCCACCCATTTATAACATTATGTTTACTTTCCTCTATAATAAATTATTTTTACCAGTGTTCTTGATACAAGAACTGTAACCAATGCATTCTTTCGATCTCCGTATAGATCGATATTCTTCTCATCAAAAGACAATGTATAACAAAAGCATTCAGTTTGCCGCTAACTCAGAATGAAATGATCTGTTTCATTCTACTGTGTATTTTATACTTTGATTATTCAATTTTATAGCAAATAACGTTTCAGTTCGCAAAGCACGTCGACACTCGCGACATAAATACAATGAAGTTTGAGAATGGAAAGTTCTCTAAAACAAACACACTTCTCGATGTTGTTTCGTATATGCTTGTCTAACGAACTGATGAAATATTGTGAACAACGATTTCCGGAGTTTAGCAAGCTCTCAAGGAGGTAATTAATCGCGATAGCTCGCCAATGAAGTCGCGTTCTAGTCGCCGGAGACAGCCGTGTTGCGGCAGGAACAAAAACGTTAAAACAAGATATCGATTTCCGGATCGGATTCCCGGTGAGCGTGATCGGAAGTGGCCGGCCGAGCGGTCGCACGCACCGCATAAAAAGAAAACCGTCTTATGTCTATGTAGAGTTTAGTACCTCGTGCTCTCGAGTTTCGCAGGTTCATCGGGGCGCACACGTGCGTGCGCGTCTTCGACGGACGTCGCGAGCCAGCCGTAGAGTTAATCATCGTTATTTGTTTCTTCAGGTGCATCTAAGAGACTGAGCCGCGCTCACCCATCGCTCACGGTAGCCGGAAACCCTCCGTTCCCAGCTCGAAGATCACTCGAAACTGCGTATTTAAACGAATTCGCGAAACCACGAAAAACATGGAAAACTCTCTTCGATCTTCGAGCAGGCGCGGATCGTTTCTCGAACCTCCTTAGTTCCTTTTCTTCTTGTGCGAATGTGAGGTGGACGGCGACGTTGTCGATGTCGCGACGATTGAAAAAAAGGGGTAAAAAGGGGACGAAGTGTTTTCTCAAAGAATAAAGTTGAAAAATCGAGGAACACGTCGACTGCGTCACCGCGTCCACTGGTTGCGTGCGTGTTGCGTGCCAGATTGTTACAAGCCGTCGCGAGTAAATCGCGTGACAACGCGAGCGTGCGAACGGCACCGTGTAATTAGTGTATTAACGAGCTGTAACTTCGTTACAAATCCCCTCGCTGTGTATAACCGCGCGGCGAACAATGCGTAACGTGGCGCGGGCGACCGTCGAGCGGCTTTTTACTTTTCCGCGAGACTTTCTCTCTTGTCTTTCTGGATCAAGGATCCATTAACGTGTCTCCCACGGTTCGGGAGCCCAAGATGAACACCGCACACCGCGACCCCTCGCTCTAGTGTCCCGCATTGATCGCCGCCAGCCATCGCATCCTTGTAGATAGCATTCACTCGTCATTGTATTACGTGTATAATTACCGCGGGACGTTAGATAGCGATAATTAAACGATAACGCTGCTCTAACGGCCCACTAAATCCATAAGTTATTATTCGGCGTCCGACGTGGCCGGCAGGTCTATGGAGTCCGGATGAATCACCGCCATTTCGGACAATAGAACAACGACAAAATGGCGGGCGTAACTCTAATAACGAGCTGAACCTGAAATGTATTACAGATGAGTAATTTAGTGTATATTCTTTCTAACTTGACATTTATGTGTAAGACTGTACTATTTGGATAATGATTATTCTTAATCATCGAGAACATTCATGATTTCCAAGAAAGGAAAGAACAAAGTAATATTTTCCATTAGTTTCCAGTTCCTTTTTTTTGTTCTAATTACTGTTATACTGTTATTCGTTTCAATAATCAAAAACAGTAAAAAAGTAGAAACAAAAACAGTACTCTTTAGAGGAACATAAACATTCGTCTCCAGAACTTGTTCGCTGGCCGGACCCCGGTGTACAATAATTTAAGATCCGGCGTAGTCGGCGGATAGTTAGTCAAGTAGTTAAGATAACCTAAGCCAAGGGACACCCGTAGCCTTAAAACTAATTTATTTGGAGTAGACAGTGTTGGCGTACGAACAATAAGACGAACAGTTAACGCGTTAGGCGTAGGCGCTATTGGTAGTCTCGAGATAGCCGCGTTACCCATGAGGTGTACGCGAACGTTTCCGGTATCCGGATTCGAATCGATAGCTTTAGGGTAAGAAGGTATATACCCGCGTATAAACATACGCCAACGCGCAGAAATATTTGATCGAGACCGGAGGAAAACAGGGAGAATGAAAGGCAAGGTTACTCGTTTCTTTACTACACGCTATTTGAAAGAGATTGATCTCGAATCGATTGGTTTATCAATGGCCCGTCTCTTTTATATAATAAAAAACAACAAATAATTTATTTTCAAATGGTATCTAAAAAAACACGTTAAAATAAGCTTCACCATACATTAATTCCACTAAAACCTCTTGAAACTCCAAACAAAGTTAGCGAACTTCTGTTTGATTCTCGGTTTCATGAAACACCGCAGAAAAACTTCGCTTTCAAATGAAGACACTCCATTAATAGACGATAAAATGTTTTTGAGCGTTAGTGTACACGGTAGCTTGCCAGTACAGAGGCGTAAGGTTAAGGTGAAGCGCGCGAATCGCGTGAACCATGCGCAGAGGAGCGAACGGTCGAATTCCCCGGCGAACGTGAAGGGAGAAACTACGCAGATCGTCGCTCCTGGTGGAGAAAATCCGCGGTCGGTCGACCAATGCCCGGCCGATTATCGAGGACCGCGTGCCTCCGCGTAATTTACGTGCGCGCGCGTTCTCCCGCCGCGGAAAATCCAACGTTGAATTTAACATCGCGGCGATCGCCGACGGAACGCGCCTTGGTATGTCGAACTGAGAGTCGTGCAAGAATCACCGGCCGAGGTGCGTTCTTTGAACACACAGGGAAGACAGCTCTGCGCGGAAAAATGAATTTCGACGTCGAACCGCGTGTATAGAAGCGACATTTGCGAGCATCGCCAAAATTCGTTCAACCTTTTGTACATTTTTTATACTCGTTCCGCGACCGATCGGCGGCGATCGAAATTTCTTTCTGGTCCCGATGCCGCGCAGATCTTCGGATAGAATACGGAGGCTATACGTATACAGAGAAAGAGAGATAAATAGTATTAACTGATCGGGCCGTGACGCGGACGAGCTCGTCTCGACCCGATCCACCATGTAGAGGACTGTCGATTCACTTACGGTAGAGAGTTTACGATTACAACGACCCTGTACTGCGGCCGAGCGTACACCATTCCTGTACAATGTATCGTAACAGTATTTACTATCGCACTAATGGTAATAAACGATAACTGTTAGTACATTCTGTGGAGTCTTTTCTACCCGTCTATCCCTTAACTAGTCCAAGATACAATCGGTTTCCTTATGATAAGGTTACCATTCATTACAGAAGGTAATACTTGAGAAAAATTAATTCCGATGGTAAACAATTTTGTTAGTTACATACACGCTCTAGATATGACAAACGTTGGCATGAAGACGTAGGACATCGTAGAGCACAATTTACAAAAGTTATTTGTATTGTACTTGAAAATACCCTCGGATGATCAAGGTATTCAGCGCATTGAGAAATATAGTAAATCTTCACGTTTTCCGTGCGCTTGAATCCTGGTGGAAACTTTAATGGATAATTCGATAGCCTAAGCAAACGTCTGTTTGATTCCAGTTTTCGTGGAACGCGTACATAAAAATCTATATTCGCGTAAACATCCGCAGTCCAATAATAAATGACCCTGGGCACCGGGCCGTCGCATTTTAAGATTCGAAGCGACATGGGGGCGTCTGTGCGCGCGTTCGTGGGATCCTAAATTGATTAGCCCAATAATCGGGTAACGACGTTTGCCCTGAGTATGCATCATCGATTTGGTAGCGAGAAGTTTGGAGCTGGACAGACCTCCGCCTAATTCAATCAGGCAACTTCCCTGTCACGGACTCGGAACATTAGTCGAAGCGTAACCGGAAACTTCGACCGCATTGTTAGTCGAGGACAATTACTGTCGGGCTCTTATTAAACGAACGAATTTTACTGTCAGTAAATTGGATCAGTGCCCAGACCGCGTCGACTCGCGTGCTCACGAGGCGCGCGTGTCCACGATTTCGAGCGTGTCCGTTGTTATTAATTCCACGGGGTTAACAGTATTTCGAAACAGAGGCAAACATCGATAATTCTTATCGAATGGACGAGTCTTTATTTAAGGAAGATCGATGACGGTACACCCGCACGTCGCATCCGGCGGCTGAACCACCGAGGCAACGACCTCTCTGTTTACCGTGCCCGCGAGTCTAAAGTTTACACGTTCATAGTTGAGTGACATCCTCAGAATTTGGGTCGGTGTTTTGTGAACGATTCCGCTTGATATTCTCAGCCTCCAGCTCTGCCATTAGCTTCGTCTTGTTCGTGTACAAAAGATACATAAATAAATATATCTGGAACATCCGAGGCTGGGTCCGAATGTAAACTTATTTATTTAAACTGAATTCGAAATTACACAGTGTGCTCGAAACACGAATTCGATTTTATATAATAGATGAGTCGCAGAATGGACGATGGCGTCACGCCTGAGATTCGACTGGCTGCCGCTATCTGTAATATAACAACGCTGAGAATGGAGATACGCGATGAAGCGTTTATTATCGAGTTGTACGTACCGTGTATGGTTGCAGTTTGAATAGTTTCTCTTTTTCTTCTATGGACATGGACAATCGTGGCCTGAAACAACACGCGAAATCAATTGTAGTCGTTAATTTACATTAACAGCGTATCTATTCGAAATAGTTGAGAACGTACGATCCGTAGTCGATGTCTGTAGGTATGATCATCTGTTCATTCTTGCGAATTTCATTGACCTCGCCCTGCTGTTTTTCGATGTGTTGCGCGTAAATCGCTTCTATCTAGAAGATCAATTGGATGGTCATAATAATCAACGATGAGTATATACTGATTTACTGATGTTACTTGTAATAAGAGGAGACAACTCTGATGTACAATTGTAGTGAAAAAGATAAAGACGCGTTGCAGGTGATTATTTCTAATACCTTCAATCTTCGTGAAATCGTCGGATTGTCGATTAAATGCAGGAATCGATCAGGAAATAATTCGGCAATGTTTTCAACGGTTACATCTTCCGGAAAATCGCTCAACACCTCAAAGGCCGATTTCGGTGGAGTAGATTTCGTTTGTCGGCATTTCAGCAATCTTCGCCACTGCTGCACTGGTTTGACTTCGTTTTTCAGTAATTCTATAGCATCCTGTATTTTCGACAAAACAATCTCCGTTTTTTTCATTCTTTCTTCCGACACGCAACCCGTCTCGTAACCCTTTCTGGTGAGCCTTTCGTCCGCATTGTCTGGTCGTAAACACATCCTGAATTCTGCACGGCTGGTAAACATTCTGTATGGTTCGTTTGTACCCTGAGTGGTAAGGTCATCGATCAGGACGCCTATATAGCCCTCTGTGCGACTTATTATCAACGGTTTCCTCTTAAGTACCTGATATATGAATTTTAAATACAGTGTCCAAAAGTAATTAGAAAAAAGGTCTGTTAAACAAATTAATTACCTTGGCTGCGGCGTTAACACCTGCCACGATACCCTGAGCAGCAGCCTCTTCGTAGCCAGTGGTACCATTTATTTGTCCAGCGAGGAACAGTCCTGGTATTCTCTTGGTTTCTAATTTAACGTTCAATTCTGTAGGGTCTATGTAGTCGTATTCAACACCATAACCAGGTGTCACTAGGAAAACATCGTAGTCCTTAACTATTGACTAAAAAGTTTTTTGGAAGAGAAAGAAGGGATGAAAGAAACAGAAGAAAACTCACGCATTTTGGCATTTTCTAATCCTGGTATGCATCGAATTAACTCTTCCTGCTTCTCCGCAGGAAGCGTACACGATAATCCAGATGGATACGTAATCGGGGAGTCGAGTCCTTCTGGTTCAAGCCAAATTTGATGCTTAAGTGCTGCAAATTTCAACACTTTACTTTCTATGCTTGGGCAATACCGAGGTCCTGTAAGCTCCTCTGTCACATGTGAATTGCAATGCAAATTTTCTTTTACTATTTTCGCAACAGCGTCCGTTGAGTATGTTAGATAAGTGTTTAGTTGTTTCTCAGCGGGTATCCAAACGGATTCATTTAGGAATGAGAAAGGTGTTGGTACTTCGTCTGGTATTTTTACAGTACATTTGGAGAAATCTATAGTAGATTTCTCTATTCGTGGTGGAGTGCCTAAGAAAAATAGAATAATTTTATTAATGTAATATTATGTAAAAAAGACAGTTAAAAAGATGTGTATATACCAGTTTTCAATCGTCCCATTCTGAATCCAATTCTCTCTAAAGTATTAGCTAAACCAATACTTGGTTCATCACCAAGTCTTCCAGCAGGTCTTTTTTCCAAACCAATATTAATTTGACCCTTCAGAAAAGTACCAGTCGTTATGACAACCGCATTGCTGTATATCTTTGTTCCATCCTCTGCAGTAAGTTCATTGTAAATTCTTAACTTTATGAAAGAAACTATATATAGTTACATACATATATTGAAATTAATATAAACATACTAAGAATTATTCCCTGACAACTTGGTGAATCTCCGTGTATGATTAAATCTTCGACAGAGGATTCATATATCTGTAAACCTGATGTATTGAAAAGTTCTTTCTGCATGTGTTTCTTATATAAGCTACGATCAATCTGTGCTCTGTAACCCCATACAGCTGGACCTTTTCTTTTATTTAATATATGAAAATGAATTCCAGAAAGATCACATATACGACAACAAACTCCATCCAAAGCATCAACTTCTTTCATAAGATTTCCTTTACCAATTCCACCAAAGGATGGATTACATGACATTTCCCCTATTACAAGAAATATATTTTGAACTCATACACTTACATTTCATTGAATAATTGCAACTCCTACCTACTGTACTTTTCTTATGGGTAACTAATAAGGTTTTAGCACCCATTCTAACAGCAGCTGAACACGCTTCTGTCCCCGCATGACCACCTCCAATTACAATAACATCAAATGTATCTCCATCAATATCAGACGATATATGTCTTATGTTCTGATAAAACCTTTGTCTATATCTTCCCAAAGAGAGCAGTCCAATTCTTGTGAGACTCATATTATCATTTAACGATCCTAGGATAAAGAATACAATACTCTGTGTATTTTTCCAAATAAATTATTGTGATTTTATTAGAATTACATACACAAATACAAAAAAATATGTTATAAATATATAAATAAAACAATAATTAAATAAGAAAATAATGAGATGTTTATGATATAAAAAAGTCATCATTTTCAAGTTTTTTAAACACATAATTATATTTAATTGCATCTTGAATCTTTGGTAAAATGAACTCATTACACATGTCTACTTTATTCAGAAATCTTACATTCATATACTGTAAATTATTCAAAAATTCCATAACGAAATTAAAACAATTCCAAGTGGTTTCATTATAATTTTTAGACTTCCATTTGGTATCGTATAACATGTTTTTTAATGTTTCATCCCAATGGTTATCCCAAGAACTTGGAATTATTTTAAATGCAATACAGTTAATCCATTTTAAATGATCATTTAAAATTAATCCTTCCTTGCAGTATTCAAATATATCTCCTATTGAATTTGTTATTCCTATGTGCAAGTCTTCAAAAATATTATAATCATTTATGAAAGTTCCTTGGGATGGTCTAACAATTATAGCAGTTGGATGATGCACTGCGTTTATGTATGGGTATGGAACAAGGAAAGGTTCTATATTGTAATCTAAAATGTATGACTGACAAATTGGACATAGTTTTGGAACACTTTTACAAAAAATACTTTTTGAGTAACAATGTTGAAAGCATATAATTCCTGGATCATAAGCCATAATCTTTCTATTTCTTTCAATACTTTTGAAGGAATGATATATCCATAGGATTTAGGTTAACGTATAAACTGGTATGATGGAATACATGGAGTAACAGGTACAATTTCTTGAAATTTGTACTGAAGTAGATGCATACGTCAGAAGCTATAAACGGAATAATTCATTCATTCAATTACTAGAATAAATAAAATATTAAAATAAAATTAAACATAATAAAGTACTTTACCTTAATCAATGTCACAACGTGTATTCAATCTCATAATGTTTTTAACATGTAGGTCTGATGATACTTTAAATATACTTCAACATATTTACAAAACTATAATAGATATTTTTCATCCATTTATGTAACTTCAAAATCTACATGTAATATCATCTACGAATCATACTCCTACTAATAACGAATTGTGAAAATAGTAGTATCTCTTTCTAAAACTAGATATTGACTGATGGTACTATTCGTGACAAAATATCCAAGCTGGTAAATAAATGATACCGACAGCAGAAACTTAAAACCCAGCCACATCTGTTCTAATCGCCTAATAGGTGGAGCGTTTTACTATAGATGGTACTAGAGTTTCAGTGAATAATCGTAATAGAAATATTGATTTAGCGAATTTAAATAGCTTTACGTATTAAAATCTATTTAAATGAATGTGATTACTAATTGTAAGTATCCACGCTGTTAATAGTATGCACAATTGAGATAGGCTGATTAAAGATTAACATGACCAAAGTAGTATCTGTATAACACAAAGATGGCTACTTCTTTGAGGCCAGTTGTAAAAAAGGTGAAACCAATTCTCTCATTTAATCAACAGGATGCACGCAGAAGAGCACTAGGATTATATAAATTGTTCCTTAGACAGATCCCACAAACTTGTACGTACATCAACATTTCTTAATTTTTATGTTAACTAAATGTGATATTACCTAACCTAGTTGCAATAAAAATAGTCTTATTCTTCTGTATTACCATACCACTATTTTCTTTTCAATTGAAGTAAATACTTTCCTGATATTTTTGCACAGAATCATTATGTTTTTATACATTGCTTATTTATGTTACAGTATTGGAGTATGATATCCCTAAGACCAATGAAGATTGTAAGAAAAAGATACGAGAAGAATTTATGAAACATGCTAACATAACAGATTTAAGAGTCCAGGACATACTTATTAGCAAGGTATGAAATCATCATAAAAATAAACTCTAATAATAGTTAACAATAAAAAGCAACTGTATTAGGGAAAGATGACATTTGAAGAAATTTTTAATGTATGGATGCCTCAAGGACGTCTTATGGACTACTGGCGAGAAACGGTGGAACCAAAGCCAACTGATTTCATGTCAAAATTCCTTTCAGGTCAAGATTGAACTGCTTAACTTCAATTAGTATGCTGTATCTGTATAAATATATCTCATAAATATTTGTAAAATAATTCATAAATTATACGAAGAATGAGTGTTGTGCATAGATGTGTATTGTACACTAAAACTGTAAAATAAAAGTAAAAAAGGGAACAAAATGTAACTGTTTATTAAAAAAATCAAATTATACATTATTTGAAAAGATGTATCTTTAATCGATTCTTACAGAATATAGAATATTTCTTTTAATTTACATTTTTTATCTTTACATTGATATATTATTATTCACTTATATACATTTGACAAGATGATATATTACTAAGCACCTTAGGTACAATCTAGTTCACTTTTCACAGCCATACGGATAATTTGCTTTCCTTCAGTGAACAAGTATAGAATTATACATATACATATACATACATCGTACACACATGCATACATACATACACATACATCATACATACATACATATATTCATCATACATACATACATACGTATATACATACATATGCCTCAATCGCGTGGATTCGAACGTCGCGTGCGTAAACACGCTACAGTAATATTGTATATGCGTGTCGCGTCAGCATTCTCCTGCATCACAAAAAGGGAATCATCGTTTTGTGCTAAACTCAAGATATATGTCCTAATGATTCTCTGCGTTTGTGTACTTTGGTTAATCATTTTTATAAAATAGTTCGCTTCTATTCTCATCATTAGACTTTTGGATTAAAAAAATGAGAAAAAGAAGAAAGATCTCTAATAGATATAATCCCGCACTATGTAGAAGACACGTTTCGCCGCCGATGCAACGCGTAATTTTAGTACAAGTTCTATAAAATATCTAGGTATTAAAAATATACACGATCGGTAACTTTTATACCCATACATTCCTCGTATCTACTTACTAAAAAAAAAGGAAGAGAAGAGAAAAGAAAAATGGCAACAATACATCATGCTTATGACTCGTAAACCTTGTAAGAAAGTTTGTTTTTTTTGTGCACTCATACGGTTCATAGCACAGGGTTCCATATTCTTGCGTTCCCTCGTTCCCTCTCACCGAGGAGAGAAGAAGCTATATAATATTATCAAACTATGCTTTCACGCTCTGATTGTATATCGTACCCCGCGATAACACCACGCCTCAACGAAACGTCGCTGTTCCGCAAACCATTACCACTGAACAGATTTACTAGCCAGCTTCTAATCGAATTTCTCGCAGAGGATTTCTTGTCTGGCACACTGTCCGTGCTAGGAACGGATGCCACTTGGTCCAAAGAACGCCAACGCTTAACAGGTACCACCTCCCCGATACAGCCACTCTCATCCCCTAACAACGGTGTCTCTGCTTCGTTAGGAGAACCATCGGTGTGGGGCACTATTATCACATTACCGTTTGGATAATTGTTGTTTAAAACTTTTCCGGAAATGTTGGTCTTCGAGTTCGACCGCGTACACTTGTCACAGTTCTCCAGCGACCGGAAGCTTTTCTTCGGCTCCTTCCACGAAAAATTCGGCGACTCGAATCTCTTGTTGTACAGTTCCAGAGGGAACGGGTCAAGAGATCGTGATTCCCGCATTATGTTCTGGAACGGATAGTCGCTGGTGGAAGAGGACGAGGCTATCGTTGACAGAACTCTCGCGTTCTGGCGGAACTTTGGCCTGGTGTCAATGAGAAGGTCGTCGAGGGCCATTTTAATATTCATTGCCCGAGTCTCGGCATCGTTCAATGCGATATTGTTCAGAGTTGTCTTCGACACGCTATCGGCTACGTAAAGAGGAGACCGCTCAATCTTCCTAGAATTAAAAGATCTCGGTACCGGGCTGGAACCTCCGCATTGTGACGTGGAGTCGTCAGGCGTTGGTCGTGGTACACTGGACTGTCTTCGACTGCCTGCTCCTAGACCAGCCAATAACGAAGCCTGACGGGAATCTGAGTTCAATTTTGGACTCCTCCTAGGTCTGCAGAAGAGCGGTGGAAGATCACCTACATCTACCTGTATTGGACACATTAGTAATTAACGAAAATTTATTTCATTACGATAATACGTAATCGATGTTTCTATAAAATTGTACACCCACATCTCGTTTTTGTATGGCCTTCTCCGTGGCACCAGTGAGCCAGTAGGTTTTCACTTCTCCCTTCCCTTTCATGTGAATTAAACCGCGTTCCTCGATAATGTAACCACCAATCTTGTCCAAAGCATCCTTGCACTGTCCACTTATGTGGATGCGCAACGGTTCGCCGTTCGATTCCATGCGAGAGGCAGTGTTCACCGTGTCTCCGAAAAGACAGTACCTGGGCATAGTTAGACCAACTACACCCGCTACCACAGGACCTGTAATTATTTTTTTTTTATAGATCTCTATCAACTTTTAGCTAGTTTGTTAAAGGTTTTCTATCGGACATTTTACCTGTGTGGATTCCTATACGCAATTTAAGTGTGTCCTGAGGTCTGTGCGCTATGGTATGGTGTTTCACGGCATTGAGTAGTTCCAGGGACATCGACGCAATTTCCCCGGCGTGTCTGTTCCCATTCTTTATGGGCAAACCGGAAACCTGAAAGGATTGATCTCCGTGAAATCGCGTGAACGCAGATGGTAGCAGAGATTTAGTGGATTAATCGTAGGAACACTCACCACCATGTAGGCATCGCCAATTGTTTCCACTTTGTACACATCATACCCTTTAATAATGCGGTCGAATAAAGTATACAGGTCGTTCAAAAAGTTTACAACCTATAAGAACGATTGTCAAGGTGATTACAATGCGTAGAGATACATCCGAATTTAGTTTATGATTAATCATGGAGATCGTACCTGGAACGGTGTACTTTCTGCCGACATAGCGGTGAAGCCAACAATGTCACTGAAATAAATGGTGACGAGGTCGAAGGCCTCTGGTTCTACACCGATACCATTTGTCAAACAGTTAGCTACGGGTCTGCAAGATAAATGTATGCATTCATGAATGTATGTCATGATGAGTTTCTATAGAATGTTTCGAAAATGGTGCACTCACTCAGGAAGCATTCTGTGAAGCAGATCCTCCGTCTTCTGCTTCTCCTCGAAAAGAAGGCGTGTACGTTCACTGACTAGATCTTCGAGGTTGTTCGCGTACTTCTCCATCATGTCCATCATTTGGTCCATTATATTGCGATGCCGGCCCGCTTTCATTTTCTTTAAACGCGTCCTAATCATCTTGAAATCGGGCCTGAGTTCTGGACTCTCCGCCCAGCAGTCGGTAATCGTACTAACTATATATTCGGCACAATCCGCCTCGGACTCGGACAATATCTCTATGTTAGGTCTAAACGGTGGTTCGCCATCCTCTGGGAACCTTTTCACTCGGTCTATGATTTCTGTCAATTCGTAAACGGTAATATTTGTACAGAACTGATCGTTGCAACATTTTTTAAATCGATAAAAAGTTCTTTGATTGAACGGTTAATAGCTCGATCGTCAAAAGTAAATGACATTACTAATTAGTTACCTTTGGGTTCTAGATTCACGCCACCGTACGGTCCCTTCCGACCAATGATTTCAAACAGTATTATAGCGAACGAGTAAATGTCTCCCTCTTGGGTGCCTCTGATCGGAGCATTGGGATTCCTTAACAGCTCGGGTGCCTTCCAGAATAAGTCTACGAAAAGTATAAGAAACATTGACCATGCTGTTTGAAGAATCAAAAGAAAAGACCGAATAATGGCAGCATCATCGGCGTCTCGTACTTCGATAATACTGATGTTCACCAATGCTGTCGGACTCGGCGCAGTGTCTCATGTCGTGAAGCCCGAAATCGGAAACTTGCAGTACCCACCGAGAGGTCACCACGCAATTGGAAGACTTCAGATTACCGTGGCAGACTAGCACAGATGACTCATGAATGTACAGCATACCCTGGATCCGAGGAAAACCATTCGTTTCAGTGGAACCGCGAAAACGGACATTCGAAAGTTCAGGATCGAGATACTCACCTTAATGAGATCGTGAACTAATGACGCGATGAACATATCGTCTAACTTTATATCTTCGTTCTCGATGATGTCCTGAAACAATAGAACGGCTCACGTGAACGAAATTGCTCGCGTCAACTCGGGCGGAGGATATTAAAAAGGTATGCAGATTAGAAGCGACGTACATAAAGACTTCCTTTGGCGCAATAGTCCGTAATTAACAATATCCTCATCGGCTCGACGCACGCCCCGATGAATGAGTTCAGATTACCGTGTCGGATTTCCCGAAGGATACGCATTTCCTTCATCACGTCCCGCGATATGTCCTTCTTCTTCGAGAACTTCAGCTCCTTTATACGGACTACTACCCCGTGGTAATGGCCGGTCTGCGCGAACACCTGGCCGCCGCACCTTGACTCGTAGGACATTGCACTAACTAAGCTTAACTGGAACGGAAATGTATAACAAGCTTGTTGAAGAATCATAGCTTTTTCCATCGGTATTTACGTTTATTCGTCCATGGGCTCTTGCATTTAATTATGTCGTAATGTCCGCAATAACACTAATTACACTTTATTCACGTTTATCGCAAGATAACTAGTTACGGATCAATATTAATTATCTTTAATCGCGCCTATATGGGTTTCCCGTATCTGTTATTAAAATCTCTCATACGACTTCTCCCATTTATTGCTTATGGGCGTGACTAGTTGTGAAAGAGGCGTGTCCAACGCGGAGTGGGGGAAACGACCTTGGAAAGGCAAGAGTTCTCGGCGGAACAATACGGGAAATGCGAGAATGAGACGTCCTTACCTTACTAGGGGAGGACATCATGTTGTCAAGATGAGGATAACCGTGTATCTCGTTGGGATCGATCTTCCAGAGCAGCCCCTCGATCTCCTGTTCGATCTTCCACCGACGGTATATGCTCATCGTGATCACCGCAGCGCAGAACAACAAGACCGCGAGCACGCCGGCGGCCACGATGCTGCGCAGGTGCGTGTCGTCTTTCGGACAGTGTTCATTGAGGAAACCGCAGCCTGGCTCCGCTTCCGGTTTATTTTTACCCGGCCAGTCCATCGCCTCCGACGGCCTGTACACCTGCGCAACACGACGGATCAACGTGTCTATTGTTACCGTCTTGTTACACCGAGCGGTGTCGCGTGATCGCGGCGTAAAT